AACAGTGAGGAGTCGTTAATTGATAAACCACAATCACCAAAAAGGCAAAAAGTGGAGATCGACACAGTTGAAACTCGTCGAAGAGTCCTAAGACGCCTTCAGAAATTAGTTTCGCAACTATGATTGACATAGGTAGGTAAACATAATAACTCTGTTCCAACACGTCAAAAAATCGTCCCATGAACGGTTTCGAAACCACTCAGTATAACAATTTTAGTTTCTGCGCAGAATCGTGACGGTACATTGTACGGTTTTCTGCTGTGTTGGAACAAAGCTAATATTATTCATTTCTTTTTTTTAAATGTTTATTCCTTTATCAGGAGACACAATAATTAAAATATTCCTAGTTACATACAGGTACACCATATTCTAATATGCATGTATCCAAACTTTTTTGGTAGAATCGTTGGTAACGAAATTTCTGTTTTAGATCAACCAGGCCCTTCATGTCGTCAATTTTTATCTACTGAAACTTCTGCAATTCGGGCAGACATTGCTACACCAAGTGGAACCATCACATCTGCAAACATGAAAAAGTCACCAACCCACTTTGTCTCTTAAAACTTTTATTGGTAGGTACCTAACTGTTATTGCTTAATGAATAACCACCCAGTTGGGAGTAGGTGAATTTTAAAACATCCTAACTCAAGTAGGACTACTACTATAAAAGACTACTAATTACTAAAACTTGCAGTCGAATGCTAGAAAAATTAGAAGCTAAATGTGCGAAAAGCTCGTCTCCAATCTTGCTCTATTTTTTTTTGCAGGTCATGAGAGACGATGCCAAATTTTAAAGAACATTAACGTCACTAGGCAAAAAATTCCTATCCCCAAGGGCAAAAATATCTTTATTCCAAAGTTATAGAATCCAGCAATAAGTTAAGAAGAATCAGTAGAAGGTTGTCGTCATTTAAATCCAAAGTTTCTACTGCTGAATAACTTGCATCATAAACCAAATTTCAAAGGCTCGTAGACCACGTCAATCCATTGATATACAGCTTTATTTTAAGCCAAGTCCGTACTCAAAACCAAAAGCCTAAAGCTAGACGATTTACATTGGACGAGAAGTTGTTGGCGTTGTCTTTGCTTAAAGCTAGTGGTAAAGGGTATAGACTATTATCAAAAATATTTATTCTATCATCCAGGCGAAATCATTTTCTTGAATGAGCTTTATATTATGTATAACTACATAAACTTTCTACCTAACACATGCGGAAAGTGTATTTTCTGGACTTAAAGGCTTGTTTGAACTCTGCTTTTTGTTGTCATTCGTGCAACTTCCATCACGTGCAGAAACACTTTCCTCACTTGTTAGGTTAACAACGATTTTGGATTGTGAGAAAAGGACCTCTTTTGTCATTTTATTTACGATTTAAGTTTTTCATCAAGCTATTGTTAAATGTACGTCATTACTTCTTGTAACTGTCCTTATTATCTTTAACTTAACTAGCATTACCTACCTATGTATGTATACTTACATGAAAAAAAACTGTTTCGCAATAATTGTAATTAATTCCATATTCTTTAATATTTTCTGTTTCAAACTTTAATAAATATCTAAATTTGTCATCTTAATTTTTAGTCAATTTTACCTTGAAGGCGCTTCAACACTACCGATTTTATGAGTTTCTTCTTTTTGGCACAATTATTTTATGCCAAAAAATGGTAGAAACTTTAAAGTGGTGGTGTTGAATCGCTAGAATCAAACAATGGTGCAAACGATCCACCGGAACAAATAAGATACCGAACGAACCCTAATTGCGTTTTGCATTCGCCAATAAATCCAGAATTACAAAAGCTTACCCCCCCAGTCACTAGAGGCGTTGAAAACTTATAGACAGGTTCTCAACACGGCACTTACCTTTCTAAGGGGGGATGTTTTGTGGATACTACACGACGCACAGCTGACAACGTAAACGTCGTCATTGGTTCAGCCGGTTCAGGTATGACGTACACCCGTTGTCTGACGTCAGCTTCAGCGTCAGAAAACGGGTGTACGTCATACCTGAACCAATGACGACGTTTACGTTGTCAGTTGTGCGACGCGTACCAGGGGCGGATGGGGCTCCTCAGACCGGCGCGGGAAGTGGATTGAAACGGCGCCGCACCTGTCCAGCAAAAAAAAATTGAAAAGCACGAGTGATCGACTTCTGCGCATACCCTCCTGTTGGGTTAATAGACAAGACGACAAAATTACTCTTTTTGCTGATAATCGGAGCCGCGCCGCTCGAGGGTCTGTTCTCACAAGTTACAGAAATTACAAACCAGACACAGCGTTTTCGATTGGTGCAAATCGCCAACAACCAGTTTTCTGACTACATATTTTCAACCAATGAAATTCGCTCTGACTGGTTTGTGATTTCTGTGAGAGCAGACATAAGCTCTGTTTCCACAGAAATCACAAACCAGTCCGAGCGTTTTTGATTGGTCCAAATCGCCAATAACTAGTTTACTGACTATTCTCAATCAATGAAATTCGCTCTGACTGGTTTGTGATTTCTGTGGAAACAGAGCGCCAGTGTACGGAGACAAGATTCTCTTGTCGCCCGTCTTTTTCTACTCCATCACCAAAACAATCAAAGAATGCTTTGATTACGAAAACTTACGTCGCATTATTGTTTCTTTATTGGTCAGGATTTTTGACATGACATTTTGACATTGAAGTTTATTGACAAAATTAACGAAAAATATTGCTAATACATACGTTTAATAAACCATAGCAATCTATGATTGCTTTTTTTTTGAAGACCCGCTACCTCAAAACGGAACACAGCAAGCACTGTAATTTGCCATGAAACATTAGGAATGGTATGGGCCCTTATAACATGCATACTTATTATTTCCGCAGTTCCAAAGTGGCCAACTGCCAAATAAGTTAATAAATTAGATACCTGAATCTGGCTTTTTTGCTTTTTCAATTATTTTGGAACATCCCGCGGCGGCGCCAATCGGCGCCTGAATAAGGACCGGCGCACCGGGAAATCTCCCGGCTTCCCGGTGGGCCCATCCGCCCCTGACGCGTACTCTCCTAACAAACCGTACCTTTAGACAAATTAATGTCAACTTTGGTAATTTTACTATGTTATTGTTTTTTATTGCCGTTTTGTAGAAAAACTATTGTAAGTATGATACCTATTTGTGACTTGTGTTAATAGTACATCGAACCCACTCATGCAATTTCCACATTCGTACCTTAAAAATTTACTTTCAACATTTGTATCTCAAATCACCATTATATTTTATTTTCTCGTAAACATCCCAAAATATCTTGATTTAAAGTTACTTTTGCTGTAAAATGTCAAACCCTTCCGAAAGTTCACCATGTTATCAAGAAACTAAATATCGATCTCCATACATCTCCTTATCCATACATCTCCTTATCAACAAATTGTTTGTTCGCTTTTGTAGAATTTGCTTATTGGGGAAAAATATTAGAGACGAAAAGCCGGACGCAGGAAAAATTTTCCCGGCCCAAAACAGTTTATCACCAGTTTATTTTAAGCCTTCAAAAACATTTTTTTTGGGTGCCAAAAACATTTGAAGGGTGCAGGGAATAAAGCGGCTAAGTCAAATTTTGTCGAAATCCAGTCAACCGCTCCATCTGGTGGAACAAAATATGATCTTTATGACTATGCATGCGAAAAGGGAATAAAGTCCACAGAAAACACAGAGTTTGTATTTATTGAACAGGAAATATAGCATCCTAAGGAATGGATAGCAGCTTTTGAATCTGCTAGAAGCAAGCCGAGTCCGTACGACATTGTGGACGTTAAACAGCACTATTTTCGAGAGTGGACGAAACACCTAGACAAAATATACAAAAAAAAATCTCCCATTCAGTCGCGTCCCATTAAGGAGATCAAAGTTGAAAAGGAGCATCCTCGACTATTATTCTATCGCACTTCATATGACGGCGCATGGGAAACTTGTGTCATTACCGCCCCTAAACCGCGACGAAATTCAACAATGAATCATAAGGAATTTGAACTTCCGAATTATTCTTATACAGGTGGTATTTTGTTCCATCGACCTTCATATTATTGGTAATGCTTTCACAATTTTCAGAATTCATACCAATATCCAAAGAAAAATATCAAGACCTTCAACATCTGGCCCAGTTTTGCGGACCCGAGAGGCAGCGAAGTATTACGCGTCAATACCTCATAAGTGAAAGATGTGTTCTGTGTTTCTTACTTAATAAAATATAACCATAAAACTGTTCCACTGATAATCAATCCATGAAATCATAGACAGATGTTTGTCTTGACGCTCGGACTAAGCCCCTTTATTCCGTGTTTTATTTGTAGATGCTAAGCAATTTTGCCAACTGTCCATTATAGACACATGTGGCCAAGTTTTTCTTAATAAATTATAAAAATAGGGAAAATTTCATTAAGCTTTCGTGACCGCAGACTTTCAAGTAAATTTTTAATACCTAATGACGCCGTTCTGAATATTGAATAAGGTTTTTCTCAACTATGCAGATTTTGAGTTGTCTCTTTTATTCCCTGTACCCTTCATTTATTTCAGGCCAAAAAAAAAAAATAATATGTGGACATGCCGTAAAACACGAATTACTTCAAAAATCTTCCCGGACGTCTTCAGACGCCTTGAGAACTAGAACAAATCCAGGGAAATCCGGGGAAATCCCGAAGGATGACAGCCTCACCCAATCTATTAACCGAAACCCCTAGTTTATTCAACAAATAAATAAATTGAAATTTATAATAATTGTTTTTCAGAAATTATAATGTAATAGAAAAGATCAGAAACTGAAATGAGAATAAATAAATATCAGGCATTTGCCGACAATAACGACTTTTGACTGACAGTCTTCACCCTTTATTCTTTATCGTGAATAAAGGGTGAAGACTGTCAAGAGGCCAATAGAATAAATAAGAAACAATGTAATTTTATAATTTCTTGATATTTGCTTTTGTTTTCTAAGAGCGGTAGGGGCGCCGTACATGCAGGGGCGGGGGGGGCCGTCGCCCCCCCTGCCCCCTACTGGCTACGCCACTGTAAAGAGAGTTATTGTAACTCACAGATGCGACATTTTGTAGATTTAATTAAATAAAGGCAAAAACAAGATTTAAACTACTTTAATAAATATCTACTAACCAATAAAAAAAACCTATGACTCTAAATAAAATTCAAATCGTTCATTTCCTTAACCAAAGCATCAAATCTTTTCTCAATACTCGGTAGTTCCACATAATCTTTAGTTTCCCATTCATCTTCTTGATATGGATGAAGATCAGAAATTTTGAGGGTGGTTTGGATGGGCCTGCCATTGGGACTAAGAGCAAAGTAATTCTTTAGAGCCGGTGGTATGAGTGGCTTGTTAGGTCTTGCGTTTTGTGAAAATGGTACATCGTCAAGATTTGTTAATTGATTTTTGCTGAATTGGAAAGTCTAAAAATATAGGTCAGTGATATCACAAAAACAATCAGATCGCAGCTTACTTCCGGTAAACAATGATGTTGCATACAAAAATAATTGGTCCCAGTAGCATCTCTATGACACCAAGTTCCATCAGGAAAGTAAGATGATACACTTAAGTCATTCAGTTCGATTCTGGGAGTATAAAACACACCGGAATCTTTTCTTTTGCAAAATATTGCGCAACTGGACCAAACTCGAGCTGGAAATCAAATTTATTGATTTATTTAATTAGGCAAACATATGTATTTTTACCATCTTCATGTGGAGCCTGTAGCCCGAAACCTTTTGGATCCAATTCTGGCAATAGTTTGGAAAATTCTTTACATTTCTGTGAAGCAAAATCTACAGCAGATTTTCTTTTAACAGGGCATATAAATTTATCTTCACAAATATTAAGTTGTCTAGTATTTCCTTCACATCCCTGGTTAGTATTCTCTGGAATTGGATTATTACACTCTCTTGTACCAGTTTGGATTCCTTTGGATTTTTCTATACAACCGGAAGTGCAAAAGCCTTGCTTCCAAGAACTCCAACCTCCTGGTGTGATTTTCACAGGTTTGGGTGGTTGCCTTGAAGTACATTCACCTCCATAACAATACTGAAATTTAATATTTTGGCTAAAAATGTTTACTATTTAAGTTAGTCTATTATTACTCTGCTAGTTCCACAAGGTGTCCCATCCAAAGCGGGTCCAGCAAAATAATACCCACTCCTATTGGGTGTCTTGCATTGAAGATTATAGCAAATATCATTTTGTTGCTGATTTGGTGACATAACAGCGTCTTTGTCTCTAAGCAAAATTTCACATTGCTTCTTGGCTGTATAAATTCTTCCAGGTATATCTAGAAATCGAGAATGATCTTTCCCTTGCTGGGGGGGCGAGGAATCTTGTAAGCATTTCGCCCATCTAAAAATAGTTTAATAATTTCAAATTTTACAATAGTGCCAAAATTTACTCCATCTTTGACATGATATCAGCACTGCAAGTAGACCATTGAGTTTCGCCATTGGTGCCTCTTGAAGGCGACATAATGTAGCCCTCTTTGGAACAACCATTGCCAGTACTATCATGGTGCATTCCAAGGCTATAAGAATTTTTATCAAATAATATTAAAATAAGATTGTCCACTCACTTATGGCCAATTTCATGAGCTAAAATATAAACACTTGTAAAGCCAGCACTAGGATAAGGTTTTCCAAACACATTGGTGGTACCAAATTCAGCAATGATGCATGCGTATTTGTCCAAACATACTCCACCAACTGTTGCTAGTCCCATGGTTACTCCACTTTTTTTACCATTTTCATAGGCGTGAAAATCTAATCTGAATTGGGTATTAATACATAAAAAAAGTGAGATAATAAAATCACATACCCTGAAACATACAACCCCATATCCCAATGATCGGGATTTGTGTCGCCTTTAGGATTAATGCTTGCTTGAAAATTGCAGAAACTATCCAATAATTGTGATCGTTCCCCGTTGTGATGAGGCATTTCTCTCGGTTGCTTTTTCATTATGTCCAATCGTACAAGGACTAATTCTAGACTAGTGCCAAGGCTAGGATGATGATAGAGAGCTTGAACCTACAAAAATATCATTCCAATAAATAATGTATGAAATCAAATAGGTACTCACTCCGTTCATGTATGCTAACAGCATATTCTGCAGTTTTTTGTCGTTGTAACCAAAATATGGCGCAAATATTTTATAAGCTGCTTCGTCGAAAAAAAGCGCGAGTTCGGCTGTTAAAATTTTGCCTCTACGTTGCTGAAGATTATCCTGATTCAAATTTTCAAGCAAATCTTGGCTTGATATGTTGTAACCGTTTGATTGTTGTTGAAACCATACATTTCCTTTAATTGAAAAATGTACCTAGTGCTTTAAATTGAAATCAAAGATAGTTTTATTCACCTGCTGAAGGAATGAGATCGTCCAATATAAAATCGCTATATAATTTTGCTCTTTTAATAATATGAGGTGCTCTCCCATCTCTCGCCTGTCGTTTAGTTAAACGTTGAAGCTTAAGAGTAAGTGGTTGAATTTCAAAAGTGGCATTGTTGGTAAATATGAGACCTTGCTTTGAAGTAAATAGGTACAATTAAATAAACTCAACACAACTTATTATTAGTTTCTCACCACAGATTTTGGAGCACAAATACTTAAAGCAGCAACTAGCTCTGAGGCTTTATGCAAATAGTGACAGTTTTCAGGAGTTTCATTTAAGAATTTCACTCCATTTTCGTCATGTATGTAAGTTTTGAAGGAAGGAACGACAATATCAGTATTTCGCTTTAATTTCAAATCTATGGGCCTAAAATATAGAATATTTTGCAACCGCCTTAAAAAAATAATAATAGAAGATTCTTACCTATCAAAAGCATAAAAATTATAATCAACTTCAGAATCAGCTTCAAGTTCTTTTGTAACCATAGCACTTGGTAAATACACTACTTCATATTCTGGCACAAATTCTTTATTAGTCGTTTGAAAATATCGCATCATTTCTGAATCACTCATAACATGATGAAGATTAACATTTTCACCAGCGACAAATAAATTAGCAAAAATAATCAGGATAAACATTTTGTAAGAATGATATGTTCATGACATTTTCACGAGGCCTTTATATTAGAACTTCATGCACAGTTAAGTTACATGTTGACTTATGAGAGTACTTTTTAAAACAACTGAAGAGATAATGAACTCATATTTCAATAAGAGCAAAAGAATAGAATTGGTCGGGTAAAATCCGCGACAGACTGTTGACCTGACTATAATAGGTGACAGTGGTGGACCCAACGGATTTATTTTCTATTTATCAAACATATTGATGCTCATTTCACTTTGATATATTTTTTTTCCGAATGACATTTAAAACGGCATTTTACTTACACTTGATAGGCAAATTGTATTTTTACTAGTCAGAAAGAGTGGACTTTGTCTGCCTAGGCAAACGTCAAAATTAGTAATTTATTGTTTTAACGTTTTTACCTGACATGTTCTCATTGGAGGCAGCAAAGGTAAAAAAATTAGCAAATTCATGTGAGTGAAAGGAAATCGGGAAGGGAAATCGAAAAGGGATGTCAACACTACAGACGATTGCAAATAAAAACATTATCTTAACCAGTTATAGACAAAATGTGATAAAATGATAACTAATGTGTTTTCTAGGGTTTTAGCACTCAATCGGGGAAACCTTACTTTACTAAACTTAGTGCTTAAACTGCCTAATATATTATTGCAGAATATTACTGTAGTACGTCGCTGTAAAGTCGCGGGATAGTAATGATTATATTCACCTTTCAATTTGAAATATAAACATACATATTTAACGAATATGCTAATCAAGCTATCATCTACCTATAATAAACAAAGAGAAAAATGTAAATTGCTTTTCATTCGCAAGATGACAAATACATGTAGTGTAAAAGTGTTGGATTAAAGTTACAAGAAAATATCATTCATGATTTATAATAATAAATGTTTATTCATTAACATGTTTTTACTCATGACATAAAAAAAATAGTTTCTCGACTATTTTAAAATCCTGAAAGCCTACTAACTAAATCCCCCCTGGAAAATATAGTTAAATTAAGTTATGGAATGCAGCAATTAATTTATGGTTTATAAGCTTGATTTTGAATTTGGCTTCGATGCTTCGTCCCAAATGGTTGTGCCATCACAGGCACAGATAGTTTTTGGATTTTGAAAAAGTCCTGCTGACCTGGCGATGATTCCACAAGAAAGTAAAATGGGTGGTAGTCCATTTAACTGGAAAAAAAGAAATTATAATAGAATAATTTAAATATTTTAGAATATTTTGTATCAAAAAGGAGGCGCCACAGAAACGTTTATTGTTCCTACCACAGAACTTCTTACAAATCAAGAAAAAGCTTGTAAAAGTTTGAGAAAGGTTTATAATGTTATATTATTGTAGAATTCTGTAGTAACCATAGCAGCAATTGTTGTTGAATTTTCAGTAGTTTAATTTCAAAGAATTTTAATAAAAAGTCGTTTCAATTGATAATTTTATTATTGTGTGTAATACAATAATACATGGTGTCAGGTCCGTCAGGTGTTACTGGCGAAGTGAAATTTCATATTTCCAACTGAAAATAAAGTAAGATTTTAAAATGGAAAAGTCTTTGGGAAAAGTATTGTCCAGGTGGCATTACATGGAAAATTAGGTAATTATTTACTATAGGCCCCTTCACCTAATATGACCCTATTGAATTTTTTTATGATTATGTTTGACCCTTGATAAGAGTTTTTGATAAAAATAATTATTTGGCGCAATGTCTCAATTATAAAAAAAAAATACCTAATTTTTTTGTGAAAATGCTTTTTTAAATAATTACCCCTAAGTATTTATTTACTATAACCCCTTCATCTTATTTGACAGGATTTCATTTTTTATATGTTGGACTCTGGACTCTGAATATAAATTGTCGATAGAAATTATTTGGCGCAAATGTTCGCATTAAAAAATAAAAGAATATTGCCGGGAAAATCTGGCGGAAACGCCAAAGTGTACAGAATTCAGGGTTGGCAAATATCATGATATTTATATAAGTAGTACAGCAACACGGGTTTCACTATAAAAATCCGACCATAACCTCAATCTTTCATTCTTGACACGTGGTGGATGCGCCGTCGTTGACACGAAGGTGGATGCATCGTCGGCGCCATCTTGTCAAACGTCATGGCGCCATCTAGCGTACATAGTGTGAAGTTCGTAATACAGGATGCTGTAGTTGGGACCCGCAGGGCTCCGCCCCCCAAAAGGGGGCCCCTAAAGCTCCGCCCCCCCCCAAAAGGGGGCCCGCAGGGCTCCGCCCCCCAAAAAGGGGCCCCCGGATTTTAATATGGGTACCAGAAAAAGGGGTGGGGGGAAATGTTTTCCCGCCATCATGTCAACCGTCACCTGTCAAACGTCATCTGTCAAACGTCACCTGTCAAACGTCATCTGTCAAACGTCATGACGTCATAGCGGGAGTTTTGAGTCGTTCCGGGTTCTGTGATGACGTCATAGCGACCTGGGTCACGTCCGTGGAGTCATTTAGAGTACATAGTGCAAAGTTTGATTCATGGTTCAGGTTCTGTGATGACGTCATAGCGACCTGGGTCACGTTCGTGGCGCCATTTAGAGTACATAGTGCGAAGTTCGTTTCATGGTTCTGTGATGACGTCATAGCGACCTGGGTCACGTGGGTTACGTCAGTGCGGGTCCGTGGCGCCATTTAGAGTACATAGTGCAAAGTTCGATTCATGGTTCGGGTTCTGTGATGACGTCATAGCGACCTGGGTCACGTCCGTGGCGCCATTTAGAGTACATGTGTCAAGTTTGATGTGTCTTATAACAGGATGCTGTGGTGGTGACGTAACTATGAGGGTCCAGCAGCTAGCTTCATGTTGTACCTGGTAGAGGGTGTTCGAACTTAAGGATGATACACACCTACAGTATTGCTCATTGACCTCGTGTGTTACCATTTACGACGCCATAACTAAGTCATCAGCTGTTTAAACAACCTACGTCAAGGCGAGAAATAACATGCTGCTTACGTCACAACTGGTGATTTAACGTTGGGGAGAGAGTGGATTTGTTCCACACAGGCCTTATGAGGATAGGCTATCCTGTAGTAGTAGTGTGTATTATCCTTGGTTGGAACCAACGTTTGATGGGAAAGGGGCCTCGTTTTTTTATTAAAAACATACATTTTTTAAGACAACGATTTCAAAAAGCGAATATTTTCCATCAATAAACTGCTTAATATGTTCCAATCATTTTGGTGGTACGTCTTGGGAGAAACACTGCGTTATCGTCAAATACAACGAGTATTTCAAATCCATAGCTAAAAATACGCCACAATTGTATCGATTACCTAAGTATATAAGATATTTACTTACTAGGTTGAAATAATAATTTCTGTACAATAGTTTTATGATCTACCTTAATTTGTATAGTTTATTGGTTCTAGTAAAGATTTGCAATTATTTTGAGGTCTCTATCGTAGAAAATATTGGGAACTTTCACTTTATACCAGGTCTTATAATTTTCTCAGTGTTTTTGATCCTTTGTTATAAAAAGACAGGCCTTGTTGATTGATTTCAAATCCATATCTAAAATATTCCATAATTGTATCGATATTAGTATATATAAGATATTCACTTACTTGGTTAAAATGATAATTGTTGTGCAATAATTTTATTGTTGTTGACGAGTCTCAAACAAGACTGAAAGAGCTTAATTATTATAAAATCCGATTCAAACTTCGAATTAACAACATAACATACAAAAAACGCTGTCAAAATATTGGAAATTTCACTTTCTATGAGGCTTCAGGTCTTGTAATTTTCTCAGTGTTTTCAATCCTTTGCTAGGAAAAGACAGGTCTTGTTGTTGATTGATATTAGTATATAAGATATTTACTTACTTGGTTAAAATCAAATTAATTGTTGTGCAATAATTTTATATTTTTCACTGGTGACCAGTTTGAGCGAGACTGAAAGAAGCTTGTTATTATAAAATCCGATTTAAACTTCGAAGTATCACATACAAAAAACACCGCTAAATGCAAACGCTTAATCGGCAGTTTTTTTATCTGAATTATATCAGGACCGTTCGCAGAAATCGCCCGAGAAAAACAACAACACATTTTAAAGATAATTTTTTAGTTTAAGGTGTAATTATTAAGTTAGATAGGTATTAATATGTCCATTTTTATTTTAAAAGGTGACAAATTCAAACAATTTATCAAAATTTAAAAGAATAGATTTAAATTAGCATCGTTGACATTTTATGAGCCAATAACCCTATGCAATACAAAATTTCAGTGGATACATTGTTACCTGTAAAAGATGAGGATTCAATTTTTTTTCTTTGTACAAAAAACGCAGCATCCAGTACCAGTACTTTGAGCCTGGATTTTCAAAGTTTAGTTTCTTGTGCGATAAGTGTCGGTTTCGAGAAACTGTAAGTACTTTTTTTAAATATCTAAGTGATGTAGGATAAATCATGCCCTGAGACATATTTTGAATTAACACAAACCTCGATTTTTGAATTATTTTTATTTTCCTTAACACATAATCATATTGTTTGTTTTTTAAAAATACAGACAACCCTGAGTACCTACCTATTTCTTAATTTAATTCGAATAGTTTTTTACGCAGCAACTTGAATTTACTTTTATACTTACCTTTGCACAAAACTCAAATTTCTTTTTCTAAAATTTAGGTAGGTTCTTTAACCAATTTAAACTGGTTTTATTTTTTCATTTACTTTAAAACAAACCTCCATAAACAGCGAATTTTTAATTTTGTGTACAAAATGGTTCACCAGGAAGGAGATAACCTGAAACATCATGAGGATTGCTAAACATCTTCCAAGATCTGTAACCAATGTGGTGGGATTTTTGAAGCAGAGGGGGCTATCCAACACCACCCAAACACCCAGCTCCAAGAGAGCCTCCAAACGAAAGGCTGGAGATCCCGCCGCCCCCATGATGAAGCAAGCTAGACTTTTGCGGGTAAGTTGACATTAATCGATTTTTTTAAATCTAATTCAATTATTTTCAGGACCTTCAATATCAGCCACATGCCGGTGGTGTGAGTATTGCGATTTGGAGGCACCGATAAATCAATGGGTTGGTCATCTTCGGTGTCTAGCACCGAGTCAACACCTGGTGAAGCAGGATGAAGACGTTAGTCTTGTCAAAACATCTTTCAAGAACCGAATTGCAACATAGCGGCTTTCATCAAAGCAAGACCCTATCAGCGTGAAGCACGTTTTGAAATTAGCTGTGGCATACCTATTCAGTATTAGGACGGACGGAGGACTGAATGATTTTATGACACACTTACCAGGATAGCAGAAAATGCGTTTGCGAAAAAATAATTTAGAGCAAACAGTTAAATAGCGCAAGGATATGAGAAAACTAACTTCGCACATTCTTGAGCAACCGACCCACCGTATTCAACAAACATGCGTACACGTAAACGAGAAGAAGGGGTTTTAAAACTAGTTTTTCCTTCAACAAATCAGGGTATCTATGGAATAACATAGAGGACTAAAATATGACAACCACTTTCAAGTTGAAACTGGAAGTGGATACCGGCTGCCACTACCACCCCCCTGCTCATAAATAAATTTGGTCATTTAGGTTGTCAGTCATCCTAAACAAAAAGTTCACAGAATTCTAGGAAAAAGAAAGCGGTGTGTATCATTTCAATTGCAGTGTTATATACTAAACAATGTCTCTTACAGGCTGGACGCTCCAACAACTTTAAGCTCTAAATATGAGTATTAATAGGATCATAACCCTCTAAAAGCCTATTCATATCTGCCAGTACCAGGATAACCTGTAACGTCATGGGAGTTGCCGAACATCTGCCAAGATCTGCAATCAATGTGGTGGAATTTTTAAATCATGTCATCCAGAAATAACATGGGTTGAGGAAAAAAGTATTCCAGTACTTCCAAGCTAGATATTCAGGAATGTGAGAAATTAGCAGTTTATACGAATTACTTCCAGAGGAGTACGTTCGCGGATTTCGTTCGCAGGCGGAAATTTGGGATCTGTTTCTATTTAAATACTCAATATATATTGAAAAAAAAAATAAAATTCAAGGGTGCCGATAAAGACGTATTTCATTTTTATGATTATGAATATTGCTACAATTTAGATGGTAGTCGCACTCACAGTCCTATTAACCATATTGGCAATGATTGTTGAGAATAAAAATAAGCTTTAGTATAAACTACGTTTTATTCT